CGAACCTCCCCAGCTTCACATTTAGGAAACCAAGTGGCTTCTGGTGTCAGCTATCACCTTGCTCAGCGAGTCTCTCCCAAGAGAACTGAATCTACAACGTAAAACTCCCAAAGTTTTCGCTGTGGTACAAGGGGAAGCGAGAGAGAAAAGGGTCAGTGCTGGGCGTTTCCAGTCACAACTGTACTTTCACATTGAACTTCTGGGGCTTTGGAAACAGAAAGCAGAAACCAGATTACTAAAAGACCCGTTGGGAGGAGGATGCCATACCGACCCACCGCATCTAGAAGATATTTTTAGGATGAGTAGTAACAACGCTCGAGGTGTATGGTGAGGGGGGCTTGCTCACACCAGGCTATGGGTTCCCAACCCAGCGGGGGGGGGGGGGGGCGGGTGCATTCTGCCCCCAGAGGGCTTTTGGTAACATCTGGGGACATCTCTGTTTGTCACAAGTGTGGGAGACCAGGAGGAAGGGGCTGCTACTGGCATCGAGAATCAGTGATGCTGCTGAGTGTTCTAGAATGGCAGGACAGTCCCCACATTAAAGAACATGAAACCCTAAAATCGACAGAGCCGAGGCTGCAAAATCCTGCATTAGACCAACCCCTTCCCTGCAACCATGTCCAGAAATTCTACCAATCCTACCCGAACTACACATCTGCCAGCCCCTCAGACGGAGCAGCTACCCGGTCACAAAAGTCCACTTCTTCAGGTAAGCACCATCAAACAGCAAGCAGGGGCACCTGGGGCAGGGGTGGGGGGTGGGGGGGAAGGCTCAGTCGCATAAGCCTCCCACTCTTGATTTTGGCTCAGGTCATGGTCTCACGATTCGTGAGACTGAGCCCCAAGCAGGGCTTGGCACTGAGAGCGTGGGGTTTGCTTGGGGTTCCCTCTCCCTCTCTCTGCCCCTCCCCCACCTGTGCAAGACTCTCTAAAAAAAATTAACATTTTTTTAAATTAAAAAAAAAAATCAAGCAGATGACGTGACAAGCAAATGCCACCTCATCAAAGTACCTGGCTGCTCCCCCAGCAAACATTTTTAAAGGCACTCCTCAGGATCCAAGAGTGGATTCTTTTACAACAATTACAAAGAAAGGACAGCCCTTTTACACACACACACACACACACACACACAAAACCATCTTAAAAATCTCATTGGAGGTCAGGTATAGGCACTGGCAGAAAACCCAGCACACTTAGGATGGCTCAAGCATTTCCAAAATATTCTAAAGAGAGAAAGAAGAGGAAAAGAGAACAAACAAGAAAACTCCACAAACACAGGTCCCGGAGGATCCAAAAAGCAAAATTTGTCTCCAGAGGCTTTCTAACAGTTAAAAATAGTTCCATCAGTCTATGGCATAAAGTATCTTTTCTTTTTTAATTATATAATACAATAAACATATAAGAAAAGGGGAATATACACATATAGATCTCAAATGAATGAAAACAACCACCCTCCCGAGTAATTACAACGCAGGTCAAGAAATCCAACCGTGGCCAGGGGTATCTTCCCCCCAGGTGTGCCTCCCCCCACGTGCACAGCAAAACAGACCCGTGCTATTTTGAAAAGTTCTATCTTTCCTCAAGCATTGAGATGTACTTTATGTATTTCCCATGAACACCAACTGCCTACTTCAGAGCAGTGACCACAAAGTGAACAGATTTAGGGAGGAGAGGTGTTTATGGAAACAACCTCATTGACTGTTAAATTCACAAAAGCAAGTGGGAGTAAAGGCGTGGAGGCTGTGTGCACCAGAAGCCAGAGTTAGAATCCAAGCGTCAGTCCTCACTCCGGCATCCTGGGTATGAATGAGCTCTCGTGAACCATAAAATGACTTCCTGCCACACAATAGCATTGAAAAAATTCAACAAGATCATGCATTTAAAGTGGCAAGCAACGCATCTCACACATACCTGTGCCTGCCATCAATACTGGGTCCCCTCTGCTCCCTGGGCCCATGCAAACAAGCAAGGTCAAGTCTTTCCTATGAGGTTATTTGACTACAAACTCTCCTAAACTGTTTCACGAAGGTGAGATACAAGCTCACTTTCAAGTTACCCTGGTGACTTCCATAAAAAGGCGTCTACACCGGTCTAGGAGGCCCAGAACTGACCAGCCTGCCCTTTCCTCTTCACTGGACTGTTCCTTCCCCCCCCACCCATATTGAGGTCAAAGGCCTAAGTGGGCTGTCGAATAAAAACACCTCAGACCCCAGCAGGGAACCTTTGTCCCTTCTCTTTGAAGAGGAACAACAACAACGTGTGTTTATTTGTACTTCGGTTCACATCGTACACAGTGCCCCGTCTCTCCTACCCGGGCTGGGCTGGGAAGCAACTCAACTAGTTAAAAATAACAATAAAATGCACCCACTCACGCCATTAGGCAGATCTTTGCAGGAGAAAAGGTCAGTACTCACACTCCTGGGAGTGCACATGGGGGGAAGATCAAGCGTGCTCACTGACAGAAGAGAATGTCGGGAAATGGAAGCAAAGGTCAGCCCAGGAGGAGGTGAGATTGACCACCCGCAGGACATGGCCACCATCGGACACGGTTCGCCATCTGTGCACTTAAATCCCAGCAAGTCCACCACGGGAAGAGAACTAGACGTTGGATGGGCCGAGTCGTTCTCACAGGAGACATTAAAACACAACAGCTAAAAAATCAGTGCCTCACTTCCTGACACAAACAACATAAACAAAGGAAGAAAAAGAAAACACATGGAAGTGTCTGAGGTTTCTGAGCAACAAAGGCCTCCAAATTGCTCTTGAGGTGTCGGTGGCCTTCCAGCCCTATGAAGAAACTCAAAGTGGGGCTCAACCATCTCTAACCCGTTTCCTTCACAGACTATCCAAGAGGAGACAGAAATCCAAAATACCGGCTTTTACAATCTCTCTTGTTTTTTCACCTTCCCAGAAGAGGATCAAGGAACTGGATATGAGATAGAGGGGGAAAGTCTCTGGTCCCACTATGAACCCCAAACTGAACATGGGCTTCTCTAGGGGCTGGAAGGCCAGGGGCACCTGGTGGCATCGAGAAAAATAACCAGCCCTGTTTCTGGTAACACTTGGGGTCCATGCGGAATCCACGCTAAAAGGATGCTGCTTAATGTAACACAAAAAATGCACACGCACCCCAATCTGCCTAAAAGTTTCTAAACCAGCAACTGTAAAGGGGATTCAAAGCCACACAGACTCAATGACCACAGAGAACGGACCGTGGTCCTATGGACAGTCGGGAGGTTCTGTGACCCCCCCCAATCTCTCCCTACCCACTGTGACTGCTTATTGGAACGCTCTTTTATGTGCACACACATAGTAAATGACCAGCACTGACCAGCGAAGGACAAAATTAACTTCACAGCTATTTTTACAGACATGGAGACTCAACCAAAGCAACCCAGTACCAACTGGGAATTGCAAAAAATAAGTTTCCACTGAGCCACAAGCAAATCTGAGGACGAGCCCGCTTCCAGACTGTCCTACTTGGACATTATCAGGGGATACATCACGGCCATGCAAATCGAGAGCATGAATTTAGAGGCCCTGGAAAACTCCCTGTTCTAACAGCCCCCACATGCTCATTCACACCTACCTGTAGCTGCCAATGTCCCCTTGGGACTGTTTCGCTGGACTGGCCTGATAGTCCAGGAGAAACTGTCCCTTAGACCGGGTTAAAAACCCAGGGCACCTACCACCATTCCACCATCACTGGAAGGCACAGCAAACACACAGACATCAAAATGGGGCCTCCACTCCTGGATGATGTCACAGGTCTGAGAGGTGGGAAACGCTGCCCAGTGGATTCTGAGGATGACCAGGACCAGGGACGGCAAGGAAAGGGGGAGGGGGGTTTCTTTCCAAATGCACATGGGAAAGGGGGGAACTCAGAGTGATGGGAGTCTCAACTTCCAACGCATGCACCACCACAGACACCTCCACAGCAAACAGCTAGAAGCATCTGGGGAAATCAGGCACAAATTAAATAAGTGGATGGCACAAATGTCAGGCAGGCATGCTGCTGCCGAAGAAAGTTCACTGGGCCCTGTCACCTACTTTCTGGGCATCAGCTGCCCAGAAATAAATGTCAGGGGCCGGAGCGAGCTGAGGAGGGGCAGCTGGCAGCTGTGGCCAGCGGGCCAGGGCAGAGGAGGAAGGGCTCCTGGGCTGGAATTCCGAGCGTGCCCACATCAGCAGAAAAGTTCCAGGGGAGACCACGCTGTCAGGAAGGGAAAGAGGCTTGCTGCTTCCCAGGACCTCAGGATGCACCCGCCACGGTGATGTCCAGGTTCAAAAGGCCGCCAGATGACGCCCCGGTGCACTCCCACTGGCACCTCGCCAGTCAGGGCGCACGCTGAGGGACAACTCGGGGTGGTCAGATGACAAACGCTCTGCTCCCAGGATAAGTGGGAGAGATTAATAATTCCTAGGTCTGGCCCTGCATCATCTCTCTTTACCCAAACCAAACATAGTCCCTGGAGAGAGTGGAAAGAAGCGGCGATGCTACCCGCCTGATATTGGGGGCGCGGGGGGGGGGTACTGAGGCACAAGCATGCATGCGAGAGATGCGAGAAAAGGCCCTGGGGAGGCTCGCACAGCGCCAAGCACCGGGAGCCTAGGAAGATGGGCTCAGGGAAGAGTTCCCTCCCCTCCCCTCCTCCCTTCCCTAACACACACAACACACACACGCACACACATACTGGAGCTACGCCCAATCGGGGCAGCAGCCGGGCTCTCCGGAGCCGGGCTGCGCACAAAGCCCCGCCCGCGCACACAGCGCTCGGCACCGGCCGGCCCGCACGCCCACACAATAGGACGGCGCGCACCCCGCCGCGGCCCCTCGCCCGCGTCCCGGCCAGCCCGGCGCCGGGGGCCGCCCTCCGTGCACGCCCGCGCGGGAGACGCAGCCCCGGCGCGGGGAGGGCGCGCGATCGCCGCCCGGCCGCCGCGCCCCCGCCCCGCGCCCCGCGCCCCGCAGGAAGTTCGCCCGACGCCCTCCGACTCACCGGCGGCGCTGCTCAGCAGCAGGCACAGCGGCCCCAGCAGCCACATGGCGCGGCCGCCGCTCCCGCTGCCCGGCGCCGTCGCTGCCCCCGCGGCCGCGGCGCTGACCCCGCCCCTCGCCGCGCCGGCCCCGCCCCCCGCTGTCCCTCCGCCCGCGCGCCCCGCCCGCCCCGGCCGGGCCGCCGGCCGCGCTCCGCCAAGTTCTGCCAGCACCCCGCCGCGCGCGCCGCCCGCGCCCTGTCCCGCGTGCCGGGCTGCAGGGGCCGCCGAGGGGGCCGCCGAACGTCCGGCCCCCTTGGCCTCGCCGCCTCCTGCCTGGGCTCCCAGGCTCTCCCAACAGCCCGGGCTCTGTTCTCTGCCCCCTCTTTTTCCTCCTTCCTTATTCCATCCTCGAGGACGCGGCGCTCACCGCCTCTCCGGATCCAAGCTGGAGTTCTTTCTTAACTGTAAAATTAGTTTACTCCAGGGAGGGACAGAAAAAGTTTGGAAGAAAGGGCCAACTATTATGAGAAAATATGCATTTTATTTTTAGTAGCAAGAGCGGAATACCACGACCAGTGCTTCTCAAACTTTAACAGGCATTGGACACTCTTGGGATTCCTGTTAAAATCCCGAGGCTCCGTAGGTCTGGGGTGGGGCCGGAGACTCTTGCTTTTCTAACAAGCGTCTAGGCGGTTCCGAGACTGACGTCTGGGAACCGCAAGAGGAGTAGGGAAGCTAACACCTTTAAGAGAGTTATTTCGTCTGGATCTTGTCTACTCATACCAGTGGAACACTGGGGCCCCAATTTGCGGAAAAGAAAAAAATGGAAGGGCCTCCGCCCAGATGCAAAATGAACAGCTGCTCAAATGCAGTTGGAGCTCGGAGAAGCACTGGCGAAAACTGCCAAAGGGTTTAGGCAGTGGAAGAGTGCTGAACGCTGTGGCACTTTTGTGCCCCACCCATCTCCTGACCCTCCCCAAATGTGTAAAGTTGTGTTACACAATCAATATGCCGAGTAGTCCTGCCTCCCCATAATCAAGTTACAGAGTAGTCCCCCTGCCCCAAAAGTTCACTGCCCACCCCCCCAAAAACAATAAACGAATACAGTTGCCAAAAACTGGAAATAGTTTATACGTCCATCAACTGGTGAATGGATAAGCAAATTGTATTACATCATGTAATGCCATGTGAGTGAATATCAAAAGCATGCTAAGAGAAAGAATCCAGCCCCCAAAGGTGCATTCTGTATGATTCCATTTACAAGACCCGGGAGGAGGAGGGAAGCTAAACTCTAGGGACCAAAATCAGATCAGTAGTTACCAGGGTCTGGGGCTGCGGGAAAGAGATGAGTGCAGGAGGCACAAGAGAACTTCACACACTTGCCAAAACATAGGCAACTGCATCCGTAAAGGGCACACGGAAGAGGGGCGAATTGTACTGTGTAGAAGTTGTACCTGTTTGGAGGAGTCCAGAGGGTGTGGGCGCTGGGACGACCCAGCCGGGGAGATTCTAGCGGGGATGCTGGCATCACTTTGGGGGTGCACTGGAGGCAAGCTGACAGATGCTGAGGTTCAGTGACTTTTTCATTGTCAGCTCTAGTCTGGAAACATGACTGCTCAAGTGGATCAGGTCAAAATTTTAAAACACCGATGACAGTTCAAAGTAATGAGAAAATGTGACGTGATATAGGAAAGCTTATTAGCTTCCACACTACAAATAGTTTATCTAGTGTGGAAAATATGAATAAATTCTCTAAAACATTTAGCATTCAGGGAGTACATCTTGGGATCTATGGACACTAGAGAGACCATCCCATGGGCTTCAGGGAGTTTTAAAGCTCCCAAAATTGCATGCAAAACAGGTACAGGTGGGTATGTGCATTTTTTCCGGGAAGTCCCTAACCTTTGATAATGATACCCAAGAAGGCAAGTAATTCTCCTCCAGCTGCTCATTTGCCTCCTTAGCAATATAGAAAGGCAATGGACCTGACCCACTGCTAACGATCTTGTTTCCTTAGGTTCCTTTGGGCCCATGAACTTCAACTTCAGGAATGATTTAGCATACGTGGCTTACTCTCCACGTGTCTGTCTGTCTGTCTCTCTCTCTCTCTCTCTCTCTCTCTCACACACACACACACACACTTTTTAAAAATGTACTAATATCCTTGAAATGATTTGAAGAAATGTAAAGCCCTCTTTAAGTTCAATTGTTTTTATACTGAATCATTCCCAACCTCCTCACCATATCTGCTGGGGCAGACCCTGAAACCATTCTTTATACTTCATTACTCTCCCCTTTCCCAGCTCTTTAGAATCTCATCAAAACCACAGGGCATTCTCTTCCCGGAAAACATGATAGGTTCTAATGTTGATTGTTCAGGTCTCAGAGAACCAGTTGCAAGTCTTTTTCTACGGTAGGTTAATAAAAATCAAAACCAGATTGCATTTGTCTCTTATTTACCAAGTGACACACTTTGTCCTTTATTTGTGCTTCTGACATGGTTTCCCATTGCTGACAAAGAAGTGAAGGGACTTGTCCCTCTGCGGTCATTGGTATAACGCTCCACAGCTCCCTACATTTTCTTATCCCTCCTCATAGCAGCCCAGGAACATCACAGGTGAAACAGCATACGAGGGGCTTGAGCTCAGGTGTCTGGGATGTGCCCCCATGCTCTTCCCACTTCTGGCTCTGTGACCTTGGGCAGGTTATTAGCCTCTCTGAGCCTCCATTTCCTTGTGGGTAAAACAGGCATCCTATGAATGCTTAGAACTTAGGGCTGCTTTCAATGTGAAAGAGACGGTATATGTAAATTCTTTGGCACAGTACCTTGTACATAGTAATTGCTTAAGAAAAGGTAGCCGTGGTTGTGGTTGTTACTACAAGGTAGCTGGTGCGGTGGCCAGTCCCCAAGACGGCTCTCAAAGATCCTTGCCTTCTGGTATCCATGCACTTGTACAGTCCCCTCCCACACAGAATGGCCTCTGTGACCAATGGATATTGTGGAGAGGTTGCTGGGGAACCTCGGAGGCTGGACCACTTGGGTCCTAAGAGTTTCTTCCTTGTGTCTCAGATCCCATGCTCCGGGGGAAGCCAGCCACCACACTCAAGCAGCCCCGTGGATAGGGCCATATGGGGAGGGACTGAGCTTCCTGCCAAGCTGCCAGCCACTGGAACAAACCATCTTGGAAACAGAACCCTGAGCCGCAGTCAAGCCTTCAGATGAAAGCAGTCTTCATGAGAAATTCTGGGCTGGAGCCACCCAGGCACTCCCGAATTCCTGATCAGCAGAAGCCGTCAGAGATTGTACATGTGTGTTGCTGTTTTCAGCTACTAACTTTCAGAGTAATTCACTGTGTAATAATAGATAACTAGTCATCTGTAGGGTTGACTTCATGATTCTAAAGGAGATTTTAAATGAACTAATACATGGGAAACACTTAGAATGCTGCCTAGTACATACTTAAGCATTCAATAGATGTAAGTTTGGTTGTTACCATAGTTTGTTTTTCTCTCATTGTCATCATCACTACCTTTCTTCCAAAGCATCTAAGATTCAGGCCTTTCAAATTTCAAGAAGACCATTTCAAACTTGAAGAAGAGTTGAAACCATCAAGAGGGTTGAAGAGGAAGAACTAAAAGAACTAAGGAAAAACTTTATTTGCAAAAAGTTCACTGCAAGGATGCCTGGGTGGCTCAGTCAGTTGGGTGGCTGACTTCAGCTCATTCCCTTAGTTATTTGACAAACATTTGATGAGAATCAGCTGGGCACAGAACACTGCTCTAGGCTCTGGATTGCTGCTGTGAGCAAAACTATGGAGCCCTCATGGAGTCCCTCGTCTGCGTGGGGAGGTGGACACACATCTCAGCAAGCAATGAGCACGTAGCATAACGTCTGGCACCCTAGGAGCTATGGGAAGCATTTACCAGAGCTCCTGACTCAGAGCTCTGATTTCTTCATCTCTTTTGACTTAGGACCTACATGTGAAGGGGAAGTAATACCAGGAAACATGAGGGTTAAAGTTACAGGAATGTGTGGTTAATGACCTCCCAGATGGCCCCCAACGATCCCACTTCCTCATATTCACACTCTGTGTCACCCCCTCCTTTGGGTGCTGCTGGACCTAGTGACTCAATTTTAACCAACAGAATGCTGCTAAATGTATGGGATGTTACTTCCAAAATTAGGTTACAAGAACACTTGGGGTCCTATTCTCCACCCCCAACTTCTGTCTGTCTGTCTCTCTGTTTCTCTCTCTTGCTCTCCAGCTGCCATGTTGTGAACTCTTTATCGAAAGGCTCAAGTGACCAGGAACTGTAAAAATGTCCAGGCAACAGCCAGTGAGGAATGAAAGCCCTGAATCTAACTGTCCACAAACAGCTAAATCCTGCCAACAATCATATAAGTAAGCATAGAAACGGATCTTCCCCCAGCCCAGCCTTCAGATTAGACCTCGGCTCTGGCTGACAACTTGACCATCATAAACACTAAGTCAGTGAACACTTAACATCATTGAGTCTTACCTGGTCACCTGAGGAAGGCAGTATGAGAGAATCATCACTAATCAAGTGTCTGCTTCAGATATTGTACTTTTATGATCACATTTCTCTTCACAATAATCTGAGTTCGGTTTTTAAATTTTTTTTCAATTTTTTAAGTGTTTATTTATATTTGAGAAAGAGACAGAGCATGATGAGCAGGGGGGGACAGAGAGAGGGAGACACAGAATCCAAAGCAGGCTCCAGTCTCTGAGTTGTCAGCACAGAGCCTGACATGGGACTAGAACCCACCAAACACGAGATCATGACCTGAGCTGGAATCAGATGCTCAACCGACTGAGCCACCCAGGTGCCCCAATGAGTCAGGTAGTATAATCCTTTTTGCACAGATGGGGAATCTAAGGCCCAGAGAATTTAAGTGAGTGGCTCAAAATAACCCAGAGAAAACTAAAGTTCAAAGCCAGATCCTTTTGATTGGAAAGGATTTCCGCAGCACCACACTAAACCATACTGCCTTCTAAAACAAGAAAATCCCCATTTCATAAAACCCAGAATGTGTTTACAGCTTGAAGGATAGTGCGCTCACTAGGTAAAGATG